CATGAATAACTGAGAGAACAGTATCAATTGCAGAATATTGTTTTCTACCTCTCATTTGTTCATTAAATAGAAGAGAATCACTAATAGAGCTTATAAAAGATAATCTAGTAGCTATTATCTTTTCTAGAATTTTTTTCAAACAGTTCAACAGAGATATTACTCTATATGACTTAGGAATTGAAGCCTTTCTATTAGGTTTTGCAAGGATTACTCCAGTAGCTTCTCTCCAGCATTCAGAATGATAACCATTTTTTAAGAGATTGAAAAAGAGCTCAAAATATTCATTCTTCAAGTAGGAATATGTGTTTTGAATAATTGAGTGATTAATTGAATCAGGCCCTGCAGCAGTTTTAATTGAACTTGAGAATATTGCTGACTCTAGTTCATCATATGTAAGCTCAGGCCATTCCCAGTTATTTTCATCAATATATTCATGAAATGACATATTCTCCTCTTCTAAATGTGATGATGAGTTTTGAAAGAGAATTCTCATAAAAGCTTGACATTTTTCCTCAAAAGAATTTGCTGTATATAATTCATTCTGAAATTCATATTCTAAGGTTGGAAGCTTTGCTACACTTCTTGTTTTAGTATAGTTGAAGGCTTTGAAAACTTCTTTTCCTTGTGCTTCTTCAAGAAATTTGTTCCAGCAATCTGTTTTGGCTTTTTTAATATCTGAAAAATATTCATTTCGAATAGCTTTGAGTTGCATGGCAGTGTCTCAGAACAGAATATCAAGATGTTTGATAATATTATCAGATATTTATAACACTGATTCACATACTTTCATTTATAAATAGAACTTCTGTTTCATGCAATTCTTCAATCATTCATTGATATATTAATCTTGATTGATTAGTGAACTGATAATATCTTCATCTACACTTAGTTTTGCAAGTATTTTCAATCTTCATGATGAGGAGAGAGTGTGATCAGAAGCATTAAAATATACAGAAGCATTTAAGGATTTCTTCAGTGTTCATATTATGTGCATATTTGATTCTGTCAGTGTTGAAATTGTCTGTGCAGAGGTTTCTTATTGAGATAATTACTGAATCTCTTCATATTAATGTTATTGAGTCACATGCATACCAGCTATCTGTTGCTGTTGAAATTTCAACATTGCTCAGAGTCACTATGGCACTGTATCTATGCTTGTATTTGAGAGTTCTCTCATATTATCAGTAGACATAGCTATATCATTTGTTGAATGTGTGTAATTGTATGAATATCCAGCAACCGCTCCACCACGAACTCGCTCGATTTTTCGAATAAGAACCCGCCGATAGATCCATTGAAAAGCCCTCGATCATACGAGCATTTTGACCCCATCGCTGACTGCATACCCCGTGTGGTGGTGGAGTTATCCAGCCAAACATGAACCAGATGTTGTTCAAAACTCCTGTGTGGGATTATCCCCTGTTCTCCCCTACCACACCACAACCCCGGGCCGAATTGCCATACAAAATGTAAGGTGAAGAGACCTAGTCATATGTGTCAATCTTCTTAAGTTTGGAAGATCCCTGATCTGTAATTGTGAAGATATCTGAGAAGTGATCTCTGTGAAAACCCTGTTCATCTTTGATGTTTCAAAACATCAACACCAAGTTTCACTCTTGTACTGCCCTTTTCAATCTGACTCATCCTCAGCAGAAAAATACAAAAAGATATCTCAGTAATAATATCAAGTATATAATCAATAAACACTTCTGAAGTGCAATCTTTATGATCTGTCTTCAGTGTATCTAGACATTAATATCAAGTCTCACTCTCATACTACCTCTCTCAATCTGGCTCATCTCTGGCAGAAGAATACAAAAAGATACCTCAGCAACAGTATTTGATATATAATCAGTAGATAACAAGTCAACAGAACAAGTTAACAGCACATTAATAACTATAAATTCAGTATACTTTAAGATCTGACTGAGCCTTTGATCTCTGTATAGTGAGATATATTAAATCTAGTTTTAATATCTTAATATTCAATAGATTCTGTAAGAAATTGAGAACAGTAATACTAGATTTCTATTGAATTTGAGAATTAACTCTGTATTGATATAATCATTAACAAAGTCTTTTATTTTGAGATATAAATAATCAGTTTCTCTACATTCTGCTGACAATATTTATATTATTATATAGAAATAGACTTATATTCTCTATAATATCAAGACTCTGAAAAGAGAAAGTCTTGATAGAGAGTATATAGTAGTATATATCTTAGCAGTTTCTATCTCATTCTTCTACAGCAGTTAATATAAAAAAAGATCTTAGAAATAGTTTTTTACTTCTCTTGAAAAAGTAAGATGTTTTTCTCTAAGTTTTATATAATATTCTTACAAAGAATTAAAAACAGAGCTGTTTTCTGTTATAATTTTATATTCTTTTAAGTAAGAATTACTTTTTCAGTGACTGAAGAGCTTTTATTAATACTTAATTCTTTTTTATACTCTTTATTAACTGATTTGAGTTGCATACTTATTATGTGAGAAGAATTGAATAATTTAGAATAAAATTAAATAGTTTTAATCAATTTCTCTGTAAAAAATTGATTTATTTTTTATCAGTTTTTCTCTCAAAAACTATCATATTATCTGATTTATTATTAATTGATATCATACTTTTTCTGACTGTATTTCAAGAAAGAGATTATAAAGATTTTATTAATTTATCTTAAAAATCAATTTTAGTTTATTAGATTCTCTTCAAAAATCTAATCTAGTTACTGAACTAGTGTGAAAAAAATCAGGTATTTTATACATAAAAGTCTTTCATTCTTCTTTTGAAACAGTGTGATCAACTTTTTAATTGAAAATAGATTAATAAATCTCTCAACTGAAACAGTCTGATCAACTTTTCATTTGAAAATAGATTAATAAATCTCTCAATTGAAACAGTCTGATCAACTTTTCATTTGAAAATAGACTGATAAATCTCTCAATTGAAACAGTCTGATCAACTTTTCATTCAGTGAGTAAAATGAGTTCAAGAGTACACTCAGTTAATGTGAAAAAAGATGTTTTCTGAGATGCTGTTTCTGAGATTGAAATTCTAAAGAGAAGAAAGAAGAAAGAAATAGAGAAATAACAAGTTCTTGAAATACAGAAACTGAAGAAAGCAAGCAAAATTCTTGAAAAACAGTGTCTGAGTGAGAAGAATGAAGAAGTTCTATTAATTCTTCATACTCAGGCTAGACAACTATAAGAAGTGATCAAGTTCAAACTTGGAATTTCAAACATAATTTAAAAAACATTGAAATCTTCTAGTACAGTCACTGACTCTTTTTCATCTTCTACTTCTTCATCTTCTTCTTCAAATCAGAAGAAAATATATACTTAAGTAGCAGAATCTACTGTCTCTAAATCTGCTAGTTCAAAATCTGCTCAAAATTCTAAGAAAACTGAGAGAATATTACTCAGATCTCTGTTCATAGAAAGAAAAAAAAGAATATAAAAGAGAGAACTTTCAAATCTCAGAAATAGAAGACTTATTCTCAAAGTCTTAAATCAGAAAGATCTTATAAAAAAACAAGCTAAACTCAAATCTCATTTTCAGAATTAGAAATGAAATTAATCAGCAGTTCTTTTCTCAGTTAATAACTGATATTGAAGTTTAAAAATCAGTTATAGCTTTAATTGAGTTATCTTTCTTTGAAAATTCTATTATTTTAACTATAATGTCTGAATTCAGTGCAGAATTTCTCATTCAGAATAAGAATCTCTGAAAATCAGTAATAGAATCTCTACTGAATATAATAATTCTATCTGAGAGAGATGAAAAGTGAGATAAATTCATTCTTTATAATATTTCAGTTGAAATTTTTGACTGTGAGAAAGAAATACTACTTCTCAAAAATAAATTAGAAGAATATAATTCTATTCAACTGAGAAAAGAGTCTGTATAACTTAATTCAATTAAGTTCAGAGAGAGTAGAATAAATGTCTGTATTCTAGTATATATAAAAATACTTGAATAATTAAGAATCTCTGAAGTAAGAGTAGCAGATTTGAAAATGAGAGTTCATGAATACAAAGACTCAAGAATGAATCTCAAAGCTCAAACATAGTATTTAAACTATCAAAGATATAAATACTTTACAATCTCTTGTTTCAGAGACTCAAAATGTGTATTCTATGCTAGAGATTATAAAACTAGTGAGTATAAATATGAAATATGCTTAAAAAGAGATGAAATATGTTAATATACTCTGCTTAAGTGCTTCAATTATAAAGAAAAACATGCATCTAGCTCAAAAGAATGTATATTTACTTCAAGAACTCAGAAGAACTGAAGAAAAGATGAAGCTTAAAGTGAATCTAAAACTGAAGAGAAAAGTCAAGCTAGTAAATCTATAACTATAAGCTTAAAAAGAAGAAACTCTTAACTATCTAGATCTTCAAACTTCAATTCTTCAGCTAAATATAAACAGAATTTGAATTCTTAAATATCTATTAAGATTAGAGAATTGAGAAATGACTCTGATAATAAACTAGATAGAATATAAGTAGTTGAGATTTCTGCTTTTCAAAATAGTTATAATCTACTATCTGATAATAGTGATTAGATTCTACTCTATCTTCACTCTCCTTTAGTATAAATATATAACAAAAATAATACAAAAAGTTTAAAAACTCTTCAAAAATCATATTTATTCAAAACAATATAAATAGAAACTTAAATTATATTTATTCTTATCTTCAGATTGTATTTAAATAAAAAGTTAACTTTATACTTCTTCAAGAATCAAACTTTGATACTGAGTAAAAGTGTATCATTTCTTATTTAAGCTATTACTAGTTTCTTTCTGAAAAATCTGAGATAAAATCAAGAGTAGTAATCTATAAGAGAAAAAGATCAAGATATTAATTTAATCTGAGATTTGATATCATATCTGACTCTGATATTCTAGTGAGTGATATTATAGATAAAGATAATAAGTTTGATACTATTCAACTTATAAATATCTATAATAAAAAGTCATTGAAAGAAAACAACAATATCTGAATAATTAATAGAGAATTTTTAAATATAACTTTCTTAAAAAATTCTATAATTGTAGAAGACTTCAATGCATATTATCTCTAATAGAACTCAGAGTGTACAAGAGCAGTAAGAGCAGATAAACTGATTAAATAAACTTTTAAGTATTTAATAGATTTAGTTAACAAGTCTGATTAATAAACATTCTTTAGAAAAGATATGAAACAGAAATCTATTATAGATCTAACTTTTATATTATAAAATCTAATTAAAAAAAGACTTATAAACTGATTTATTAATTTAAATAAAATCTCAGAATCAGATCATGAGATCATTCAATTTGATATTGAACTGAGTGAAAAATAAAGAAGTGAAAATCCTCTTCTCTCTAATCAGTATAACTTTGAAAAAGCAGATTGAAAAGTAGTTAAAGAAAGAGTAAAGCAGCTGAAATCTGAAAGATAGAGTGAGCTCTATTGAAATCAAAGTCAAGATATATCAAATGAAATACTTAAAAATAGAGTAAAGCTGATTACATCTATTCTTTTAATAAGTATTGAAGAAAATATTTTAAAGAAAAAGTCTTCTAAGTATTTTAAATCTTGATAAAATAAGAATATTATTTCTAAAAGAAAGTAATTAGTCACTGCTAAGAGAGATTAAAAGAATAACTTAATATCTAATAAAGAGTTCAAAGTTATTTAAAATGAATATTTTTTAGATATTAAAAAAGCTAAAATACATTACTGAAACAAATTTCTTGAAGAAGTATAAGAAAAAGAAGTTTTTACAGCCTTTAATTATACTAAAATAAGAAGTGTAGCAAAGCTTTCAATCTTAGAATATGAATTTCAGAATGAATTGTATACAGCAAACTCTTTTAAGAAAAAATATCAAGCTTTTATAAGAATTCTCTTTCAAAACTCATCATATTTAGAAGAGAAGAATATGTCATTTCATGAATATATTGATGAAAATAACTGAGAATGATCTGAGCTTATATGTGATGAACTAGAGTTAGTAATATTCTCAAGTTCAATTAAAACTGCTGCAGAGTCTGATTCAATTAATCACTTAATTATTTAAAACATATATTCCTACTTGAAGAATGAATATTTTGAGCTCTTTTTCAATCTCTTAAAAAATAATTATTATTCTGAATACTGAAGAGAAGCTACTGAAGTAATTCTTACAAAATCTAATAGAAAAGCTTCAATTTCTATATTATATAGAGTAATATCTCTGTTGAACTGTTTAAGAAAAATTCTAGAAAAGATAATAGCTACTAGATTATCTTTTATAAGCTCTATTAGTAATTCTCTTCTATTTAATGAATAAATAAGAGATAAAAAACAATGTTCTGTAATTGATACTGTTCTCTCAGTTATTTATGATATTTAAGTAACAAAGTATGAAGATCTGATCTCAACTGCAGTTTTTATTGATATAAAAGATACATTTAATTATGTTTCAAAGTCTAAGATAATTCAAACTTTAAAGATATTAAAACTGTCACTTTCTCTAATAAAATAAGTGAATTATTTCATATCTAAAAGAATTATACAACTATTCTTTGATGAAAGAAAACAAGATAAAACTGAGATAAAAATAAAAGTATTATAAGAATCTTCAATCTCCTCTATTTTATTTATAATATACACTGCATATCTATTCAAGAATAGAGAGATAAAAATAATGAGATCTTCAAATTATATAGATAATATTAATCTACTCTACAGTTCAAAGATAATCAAAGAGAATTTAGAAGTGATTGAGAAAGTAGTAAAGAAAATCTTTATTAGAGTTGATATCAATCTAATTCAATTTAATATAAATAAAACTGAGTTAATTCACTTTTCTTTCAGATTTAATAAGAAAGAACTAAGTCTAACTCATTTAAATAAAGAGATTAAACTCAGTTTGAATATTAAATAACTAGAAGTATGATTAAACTTCAAGTTGAATTTTAAATATTATATTTAATAAAGAATCATCAAGACAGAGAGACTACTGAATAGTATAATTAGACTATTAAATACTGAGAGAGATCTATTCTTTCAGATTATAAGACAGTTATACATAGTCTGTATTATCTCAGTAGCTGATTATAAAGTTCAAGTTTGATGAAATAATCAAGATAACTTCACTGAACTCTTTCAGAGTATATAAAACAGAGCTTTGAGAAGAATTCTAAGAGTATTCAAATCATCTTCTATTAAAATAATGAAAATTGATGCTTCAATTTCATCTTCTACTATTCAATTTGAAAAGGCCTGTATAAACTATACTCTGAGAGTCATAAAGATGAGCTTAAATCATATAATCAGAGAAAGAGTCTCTTCTTCATTTTTATCAGTTAACTCAAGAAATGAACTGAATTGAAATAGATTTCTTAATTGAAATGAGAATAATGTTTTAAAGAAAATGTTCTTTCAACTGTATAGACTATATTCACTTATTAAGAATCAATTTTCTTTATTAAATATTGAGAAAATTGATCATGAGAAGATATCTCTCTGAAGAGAAAAGCTAAAATCTCTTATAGACTTATAAATAAGTAAACTATCTAAAGAGAGAGAATATGAACAGTATTTAAAGAAGATCTCTATAATCAATATAAAAGACTCTATTCTGATTTACTCAGATGACTTAAAAAATGAGAATTTGAATAGATTAAATGCAGATATTACTTATACTGAAGATAATATCAATTTTATCTCAGATTTCTGAAATTTAGACTGTGAATCTGAAGTCTTTGATACTGAACTATTTATAATAGTGAAAGCTTTTAAACTCATTGAAATAAAATCTTATAAAAGAGAAAATAGTTTGAAAGAGATATGAATATTCTCTGATAGTCAAGCTACTTTAAAAATACTTAGAAATAGTCAGATTTATAATAATCAAATGAATCTTAAACTGATTTTAAACTCTGTTTTGAAAATTTAAAAAAGAAGAATATTAAAACTGATAATTCATCTATATTGAGTTTCTGTTTATATGAATATTTATAATAATGAATTGACTGATTCAGCTGTAAAAAAGAGTGCAGAATTAAGCAGATCTATTCAAAAAATTATATCCTGGTCTTTTATAAAGAGAAAAATAAAAGAATCTTGTTTAGCCAAGTGAAATGAAAGCTGGCAGAAATAAAAGAAGAGTATATATTATTCAAGATTTGAAATAAACCCTAAGTGAAAATCTTGTTTAATTAAATATAAAAAGAAAATATTCTCATCTATAATACAGCTGAAACTAGAACAGAACTATTTCAAATCTTATATACAAAGATTTGATGATAGATTTGACTCAATAGAATGCTCATTCTGCAATGCAAATGAGAATTCTGAGTATATTATAATACACTGTGTATTATACACTAATCTCAGAGCCAGATTGAAAGAGAAGTATGATCTAAATCAATTAAATATGAGATTCTTATTCTCAACTGAGACAGGAATTAAATACTTAATAGACTTTCTATCAGAAACTCAAGCAGCTACAAGAAAATGGCTAAATTCAGAATTATCTGAATATGAAGAGAAGAAAATTAATCAGATATAGTCTGTTAGAACAGCTATACACTATCTTTTAATAATTTGTTTTGTTACAGTCTCTCTTTACTTTATCTTTTTCTTTCAATTTCTTTCTATCTATTTATTTAATGTATCTATCTTTAAGACTGTGTTCTCTTTCTCTTTTTCTTTGTCATGATATTTTCAAATGATTTCAAAGTATCAGAAGGTGTTGAAATACTGTAATTTATAAACAGTTTTTGTATTCTGAGCTGGAATTTTCTGATTTTACATATCTGAAATTGATAAATGTATAATAGTTGACTCTATAGATATACAAAAAACCCTGAGAACTAAAGGTTCTCAGGTAGATGTCATAGTCTCTGACTGCATACATCTATAA